TGTTCTCGAGGACTTCAGTGGGCTAGAGACTGCACTGTGAAATTTGAATGACTTATTTTCTAAGTCTGAACCTTGGGAATTCTAATCTAAAGCTGGTTTTCACTTGGAATTCAAGTGAGCTTCTGGTTGAGTTGTTTGTTTGTGTCTTGGCTCAATGAGCTTTGGTTGCTTCAGTGTTTTGAAGGTTTTTTGAGATCAAGTGATCATTTTGTTTTTGATTGATTTTTTGGTTTTTTGAGTGTCCTCTACCCTGTTCACTCCTTCTTGTATTTATAGAAAAACTGTTTCTTCTCTGGAGTAGGGTGATTGTGTTTTTTATTGGGCGGCAAAGATATTTTCCCCCCTTTTCCTCTTTTTCTTCAGTTTTGGCAGATAGGCTCTCAGATAGGCGATCACTTCCCTGTTTTTCAGCTGCTCCTTGTGATATTTTACCCGTGATGGTTAGTTTTGATTCTTTTTCTGGACAGCTCCCTGCTTTCCTGCTTATCCCTCTCTGAGATTGTAACTTGCGTATCTATTTGGGAGAATTACCTTCCCTGTAAAGACAGAAAAAATATCTGAATATACATATATAAGGGGGATTTAATCTTCAGTTCTTCTTGCTGTCACGAACCCTTCAATCACTTCTTCTATGACAGTTGCCATTGCTGACCTTTTTATCCCAGAAGTTGCTATTGCTGACTTTTCATCCCTGCTGACTTCCGCCATTGCTGACTTTTTATCCCAGAAGTTGCCATGTGGGATTGTTCCCTCTTCTGGTCTGGACTCCCTCTTCCTATTATGTTGGGCCTGTGAGGCCCAAATCAGCCTTGTTTGTTCTGATGGGCCTTGGGCTGGATGTGTCAATTTTTGGCCCAAACAGGTAGACCGTTAGAACGTCGAAATACTAAATATAGTTACGATGCCAGCCTAAGTACTGACGTCCATAATTTTTCCATTACACAAAAGTTCAAACTTGGGAACATGAATGCCTCAAAGTTACTAATCAAAATAATAACACAGAATTCCAGTGTTGCTGCAGACATAAAAGACTTGCGGCAAAAATCTTTCACTACTACAATTGTTCAAATTCAATGACGCCAAAATTAATTTTTCAATGTTGCCAAAGTTAACATATTAAAAAAATTGGTTGATCACTTGTTGTCAAGATTTCAGAGAGACTAACTAGCAGTCCACATCAAGCATGTGTGAAGTTTTATCACAAAAGATCTCGGTACTATTAATAGTAGATCAATTTATATTGTATTTTATTTTGTCAAGGTTTCGATGTGGGTTTTTTACATTCTTCAACACTTGGGAACATTTATTTCACATCTTTCTAGTATAAATACAAGGAGACCCTCATAGTTTCTATAACATGAAAAACCCATTGCCTATGTGCGCCTCATGCTCAATTGTCATGACAACAACTATTTGATGATTGAGAATATTTTTGCTCACCACTTTAAATCAAGGTGTACCCTCACCACCCTTTTCAATACTTGACACGTGTCAATTGGTATAATCATAGTTAACTCTTTACTTGACACGCGTCAATAAGTTGATAGTTATTTTAGCATCAAATGTTAAAATTGCAATCATAAAAAAATGGATTAACTACATAAAAGTACCAAACCTTTAGAGGTCGTTTCAAATTAGTACCCAACCTTTCGTAAAAAATTCAAATTAGTCACTCTGTCAGTGGAGGTGTTAAGTGATGACGTGGCTGTTCCGATGCTGCTTTTTTTGCTAAGGTGGATACCACGTGGATTAAAAAAAAAAAAAAAAGTCTTTAGTTTTTAAATTAATTTAAAATTTTAAAATAAAATGTATAAAATAACATAAACTTAAATAATTTTTTAAAAGTAATAATAAAAGGACAAAAGTACCCCATCCCCCATCGTAACCCCACCCCCAACCCACGCAGCACCAGACCACCAACGCCGACTTCCTCCCTTTCTCACCACCTCTCTCTCTCTCTCTCTCTCTCTCTCAAAAGCGTAGCCCCCCACCTTCGACGACGAACCCAGCTGTCACCTCCATAGAGATAGATTTGTGGGTTACGGCGGATGAAGAACTTGGCGACGAAGAGACGGTGTGGCCTTGGCGACGAAGACGAAGACAACGAATCTAAAGTCGGGCTAGTCGGATCTAAAGAGAAGGAGGTTAGCTGGGGCTGGCGTTGGGGATAGGGCTCGGACCTCTATCAATCTCCCTCTCTCTGTCAAACTCGCGGAGGAGGCGTGGGTGCCTTGATAAATTTTTGGCACAGAGATGAGGTCATTTTCCCTTCTGTTTGGTCGGAGAAGAAAGTTTATGGATGGTGAGCGATGGCTAGGTGGTGGTCGGTAGACGGTGGTTTTTGGGGATGGCTAGGTTATGGTGACCATGAAGGGGTGGAGCTGAGAGGGGGGTGGGGTGTGTGTTGTTGGGGTTGGTGATGGCTTGGGATGGGGATGGCGTCGGGATTAATGGGTGGGCTTAGAGAAGAGGTCATAGGCGGTGGAGAAGGATCTGGAGATGGAAGTGAGGTTGCTGGGGTCGATGGAGGATGAAGAAGGTGAAGCCAATGAGAATGCCGATGGAGGATCTGGAGATGAAGAAGGTGGAGTTGAGGTAGATGGAGGATCTGGAGAGGGATGTGATTTTTTTGGCTGTTGAAACTGATTTTTCTTTTTTTTTGCGTTTTTTTAATTAATTTAAATTTATTTATTTATTTTTTTTTTAATCCATGTGGTATCTACCTCAGCCAAAAAAAAAAAAAAGGCCACATCGGAGCAGCCACGTCATCAGTTAACGTCTTCACTAACAGTCTGACTAATGTAGTGATTAATTTGTATGTTTTACAAAAGATCGGGTATGCCCGTAAAAAATTTAAAAGGTTTGGTACTAATTTGAAACGACTCCTAAAGGATGGGTACTTTTATGTAGTTAAATCCTAAAAAAATTAAAGAGACAGTATTTAAGCATCAAATGTTACCAAGATAAACATATGATACTGAGAAACCATGCGCGTTCATTAAATTTCTTGCAATATTATGCATTCAAATGAATATGTTAGAAAATATTAAATATGATAATATAATTGATGATTTTGCTTCTAAAACTGCAATAAGAAGAACTTTGAAATAATCTTTTATTATTTTGTAGATGCATATAATTTTGGTTTGCCTTGGGCCTTCAATCACCCAGGGGCAGCCCTATGGATGGGGCATGCGGCTGGGTTGGGTATAGGGAGAGGGGCTGGGTTTTTATAATTTTAATTTGTTATTTTATAATTTTATAATTTATTTTGCTTTGGACTTTTCATTATTATTTAATACAGAGTATTTTTTTTATTAAAATTACAAATTTTCCCTGAATATTGACAGAAATTTAGATGAAATTCAATCCTGTGTGCCCATGAGATATAAATGGGAAAAGTATGGAGCGCCTTTCATTTCCAATTATGTGTTATTTTTATTTTTCAGTTTGTAAACCCTTAGGCCCCATTTGTTTATGTTTTCAGACCCCCAATTTCATTTTCTAGAAGAGAAAACGCCTCAAAACTTGTTTGGTGTTGGACTTAGCAAAATGCGGAAAACGATTTACAAAAATGTTTTCAATATATTCTCTTCAAGTTGAAAAACACCAAAAAGACGTTTCCGTGTTTCCGTTTTCCAATTTAGAAAACACAGGAAACAACATCCGCTTATTTTTCTACCGAATAGAAAAACAGAGGAATTCTTATCCTCTCTCCCTTCCCACATCATCACCATTCTTTAGGGCAAGCAGATTTATTTTACAAGGATTCCAATTCGTATTTTTTAGTTCTAATTTATACATGCAGATTTAGAACTCTCTCTTTTGTTGACGAGTCCTTACTTAGTTAGGATTTTGGTTCCTTATTTAGTTAGAATTTTGGTTACTTACCAATTATTATTTAGTCCTATTGTAATAGAGATTTATTTCCTATTGTAATTTAGGTATATTTCCTATTTTATTTAGGGTTAACACATTTTTGTACTTGTATAAATACCTCCATATTTGAGAAGAATAATAATATGAGCATATATTAGCATAATTGAATATTTACCCTACTTTGTTTGACATCTCTCTATTTCGTAGCTCTGCTTTTGCTTGTATGAAAATTCTGTTTCAACCTCCATAGAGACAACAATCATTGCCCAAAAATACAAAAGGTTTCATTAGAGAGGCACCAAAGATCTGGAAATTGACCCCATCAAAACACGTGTCCCCATTAAGCGATGTGTAAGGAGAGGATACCACAGCTTTGATAATCAAGCTAAAAATAAAAAATAAAAAGGAGAGAGGTTTGCTGTAAGACATGAGATAAGAGAGAGTACGAGAGGTTTTCACTATTTTTGTTTTATGAAACTATTTTCCAATTAAGTTATCGAACGCATTCTTGAATCTGAAAATGCAAACTCGTTTTCTTATTATCATTTTCTGACAATATTATCTGAAAACATTCTCCAAAAATGTTACCGTCTCCCATAATAATTCAATATATGCATTTTGGTGGTGCCTATCCTCGTGATGTTGTTCCCGCCCCTAGGCTTATTTCCCCACTAACATCTATAATCTCACGCCCCATGGAAATTTCAAAGAGACAATCCATCCGGAACGTGGACTTCCGTGTTCCTCCCCATACCATAATATCACTTGTGTATAGTAAAAAATAAAAAATAAAAGAAAAAGAGAAAGGAAGTATGCGTACTGATACCAGAGAACATATGCCTTCTAGTAGTAAAAGGCGGCGATCCATTACAGTGACTCAAAAGCATATTTAATAAAAGGAGACGATTTTCCACCTGTTAGTTTATTTAGTTTATTCCAATGAAAATTATACAGTAGAACCCAAAATGGCAAACCAATGAAACACCGTAGGCCAGTAACATTGAGAGACAACATATGTATATACACGGTTAAAGAAGTAAATGCAAACCTTCAACTCTGACATCATCTGATTTTTTGGTATACAAATTGACATCTGAAACCTACAACAACAATAGCACTATTCTATTCCCTCTCAGTTCTATGAAATAACTTGCATAATCAGATTTATTCATACTACTGTTTTTTGACATAAAATACATCATCTAGATGACCATATGCGACAACCACAACTTTGATGGAGTCTATGAACAATCATGCAACTTCACTGCACCTCAACCAGGTCCGCGAAGACCAGAGAACAGCAGAAGTCCTATCATCTAACCATATAATTGCTCTAGTAGGACCCTAAAGATCAACTTCAGATAAAGAATCTAATGCCTCACTCTCTGGGCCTGGCAAGCCAAAGAGAACTCAGGGCTCGAAGACGCGAAAAATAGTCATTTATTGCAAGCAGTGCACGAGCTGATTGTCGGGTCGTCAGTATACGATGCATTTGTTGCAGCGTTTGTTGGCGAAGATTGTCAGCCTGGTAATTGACCAAAATAAGATTACAGATAATAAGGCAAAAAAATTGACATTAGTAGAGCATAAACATGAATAAAACATAAATAACTAGTGGCATTTTCAGATGTTTTTAAGGGAAGTCAAGACTCCAAGACAAGATTAAAGAAGCAAGAATTTTCAAACGGGCATACCAATCTATACTCAAGCCAAGTCCCCAAATTTGTGGACCATTTCTGCTGCACGTCTTCCACGAAACAAACTTTTTGAAACAAAAAATTATTATTGCCTTCAATAATAGGACTCTAGGTTTTTTTTTTATCCAGAGACTACAGACTCAAGAGGACTACAGTTTTCTAGTGTTTCAAAAAGAACAAAGAAAGACTACATATTGTAATGATGAAACTTAGGTAGAACAGCCGACAAAAACAAATGAAGAATAAAGTAATTGAAGAAAACAAGAGCTTTTTTTTTTAAAAAAGGAAACTATGGAAACAAAATACAATTTGGTTTCATTCCACCCACAAGTTCCAGCACCATAATATCTACATGCAAGTTCCAGATGCGTCACTCAGAAATACCAGCATATTCATGATTGAGTTTTTATCTATAGTTCTTGCAATCATCGAAATTCACTAGGATCACACTGCATAAGCAAGCTAGTGGAATCAACTATTAAGGGAATTCACCTGGCGGAGGAAACCCTCAAGAGTTCCTAGCTTTCCCATGGCCATGGCCATTTGACCCATATAGTTTGCTACATTTCCAGATGATCCTGATGGCCCAGGTGAGCCACTGGCCAAGGTTTCAGCAAGGGATTGCTGCAATGCCTCCATCCCTTGTGACAGAGCATCTTCAGCCTGCTGGGATGACTGCTGCAAGTTGTAAATACCCACCAATTGCTGCTCAGTTAACGGTTCCAATTGATTCACCAGAAGCTGCACCAAAGCCAATACAGTTTAAAATGCGGAGATCTAAAACAATTAGAAAAATATAGGACAGAACGAATACATTATGCCCACATGGTATTCAAATTTAATTTTGAGTAGGTCATTATTCATTTTGTCTAAGAGAATAAAACATCAATTTTGATCACATTCTTTTAAGTTCAAACTTAAGCACTCAAGAATTTCCATTACTTGCAATCAAGGAATAAATGTATTGTTCATTCCATGGATACGGTTATGTGGGCACAGCCAAGTGACTCACAACATAGAAAATGCAGAATTGAACCCATATACATCCAACATTTCCCTTATTTCCATCATGTATAACGTGTTATGGAGAGAGCATGTCAGCATTACAGCCCTAACTCAGAATGTCAAAATAAATGTTTTCATGTCAGGAGATTATCACAGTTGGAGAAAACAAGGAAGCAAAATGTCAAAATAACATCTCATACACTAGTAGAAGGATTTATGCAAACACCGCCTAAAACTAAAATGACAAAACCTTTTTGTTTTCCAAGTTCCAAGAAGATCAAGAGAAAAGTTGCTAGAATGCATTACAACTGAAATCAAATACTCAACCACAGCAAAGAAGAGTTGAAACTAATTTTCACCTTAAGGAGCTCAGATGAGCGGAAGCCACCAATCCACATGAAACACCTTTCAGCTGGTGTTTTCCACATTCCTGACAAGATGTGGAAAACATCAGCTTTTGCTGCAGTACCCTTCAGTCTAAAAATGTCATCGTAGTGAGCAATGACATTGTCAATAACGGTACGAAGTTCAGTGTCACCCGCATGTGAATTAACAGCAGCCCTCAACTCATTTATCTGCCTGTTGTGCTCCTCTAGCCACCTTGCATATTCCACATCAAATGCCAGAGCACCTACAGAAGACAAAAACAATTAAAACAACAAAGTTTTACCATCAAATATCAGTTAAGTGGGAACATATATACACATGTTAAATATACGGGCGTGTTCTTATGCCAGGCAGTTTAGGAATATAACGCTCCTGTTGCCAGAATATGATTTTAGACCATTGATTAGCTTGATTCTTGCTTAAATGTCTGGTCCAAATCCAGCCTGACAACATATGAATCTTATGTTTCCAGACCGTCTGGCAAGAGAATATGACCTCATTATATACACATTTATACACACACACACACACATATCTATACATCTTTGCTTCGCTGGCCCCAATAAAGTGAACACAAAGCACATGAAATAATCTAATTTATCATGTTAGGAACTACATCCATATTTAATATGATGAACATAGAGAAATCTACAGGACAAACATTTAACCCCCAGATGCTCAGACCCAACTGCAAAAGATCGGGATGGCCAAATAACAGAAAAATCCAAGACAAGCAAGCTGTAGAAGTATCTAACCAAAAATAATCGACTTACTACACACATGCTGATGGAGAGAATACATAAACCTAAATTTACTGTGATGGAGATTGATGAGGTGACTAGGTTACTGGTTATCCCGGATGGCACTAGATTGGTTCCCTCTAGGAGGGACAACAGAAGGTGGAAGTTGGATCACTCTGGGTTATACTCGTGCCATTCTTTTTGTTCCTTCATTCAGGATAATGGTTCTGCGGAGGAGTTCCCTTCTCACCCTCAAATTTGGAAGGCTAGGATGACAACACCCACCCCCCCACCCCAAAAACCGGGGTTAAAATTCTTCTATGGTAGGTTGCCATTGGAAAAGTAAAAACTTGCGACACTTCGCTGAGGCATCGCCCCTTTATGTGCTTATCCCCTCACTGGTGCACTCTTTGCAATATGGACAGGGAAAGCGCGGATCATCTGTTCATTCACTGTCCCTACTCCTTAAAGGTGTGGTGGTTACTTCTGCAGGAAGTTAATGCTGCTTGGGTTATTCCTAAAGGCTGCTTTC